ATACCTTCATTTTATCTGTCTTTGTCGCAATTTCACCAGAGCTTAGACGTCAAGTAGTTCCTCTTTCGCTTATTCCTCGAGCGTGACCGTAAATATACCGCGAGGAAAAAATGGCCGCGCGAAATCCTGGGGTCAAGAATCCTTCTCGCCCCCAGGAGCTCGCGCGGTCACTTTTTCCTCGAGGTTTTCTTCTTTCGCGTCGCGCACGAAAGAGCAAAGAGGGACTCGTTCAAATGGTCTGTTCTGGTCTGTTCTATATCGTGACTTTCCATACACAATAGAACAGTTCACATTGTTTGCGTGAAGTCGGCCGGGTGACAAAGCTTCACGTAACAGTGCAAAACATGGCCTTGTACTTAACAGCCTTAGCTCAACTAAACGTTTGCTACATTTCTAGTAGACCACTACATCAGTTTCCAATAGATGTTGAAGAGATTTAATATATCTAGCGAAACAGCAAGTAAAATTAATGTATCGGTCAATGGTCCATCCGGTCGAGAGAGCAGCATATAAATGATAGCATACAACAATAAGAAAGAAAGAAGGTGCGCCTTTGGGGGATTGATATAATTTATGCCTTCTTTCTTTGTTATTATTTTTTGCACGCAATTGCTTCTCCAACGTTTGTCACTGGCGAAACACCCTTTGTAACTGGCGAAGATATGAGTCACATCAAAACATCTTTACAAATTAAAACACATCGTGATATTTTTAAGATTGCGATTTATTTGCTGCTCTGTCGACCGGATGTTTGATGGGAGAGAAGCGTCGGCTGTACTCGAGAAGCTTCGAGAGAGCGGCGGAAACCAGCCCAGCAGATTGGGCAGTTGCCAAAAAACAATCCTACACAAGAAGAATCGATCCAGAAAAATCGTGCAAAGAGAACCACCTTAGAGAAGCACACTCATGTTGGACAAATCGAAAAAAAAAAAAAAAAAAATTGCACGACCTGACCTTGAGAGAAAGAAAATTTGCTTTGGAAAATTCTGCGCTCCACCTCTCAAAGATTTCATGGTCCATTCTTATTTCAAGAACTGTTCACGTGTAAGTCTGGAACAGGACTTGTCTTGTGGTAATTCTAAACGACCATACACGCGAAACGTGTTCACAGCTAACCACGCGATGCATGATCGAACTCCAATCTACATCGTGAAAACTTGGTCACATGACGACGGTATATCAATATTCTAACATGGCTCCGAGAAACCACGCACGACGAACTAAGCGAAGGAGGGACTACTCGTAGTCTATTCCATATCCGATGGTGTTTTACTTGTATCCAAGTCCTCTGGAAATTGAGGGACAAAAGAAAATTTAAAAATTCGCGATTTTTGTCCTGAAAGTCTAGGAGCCATGTTAGAATACCGCTACGTTGTACATCGTACGTGATCGAGATTGATCGAATTCCACCCTCTCGCGTGAGAAACGTGTTCAATCGATCGAATTCCGCCGATACACGTGTCTGATGTTTACGTTCCGTGAATCACGTAAAACGACAATCTAGCCCCACCCCCTCCCCCCCCCCCCGAGGTACATGTCATGACCTGTTGACAAAATACGGCGAATGAAATATCTTCCGCGTTTGCTTACATGAGGGCGAATGAAATATCTTCCGCGTTTCATTTTATGAACTGAAAATTTTAAGGTTACCTAATTGATTAGGTACGGTATGCTATTTTAAGGGAAACTTCTGGAAAAATGAAAACGTGGGAGTAGTTTCAGGCTCGTTATACGGTTGCATGCGCTCGATCAATATCCTCTAAAGATGTGGGAAAAGATTGTCAGCAACATATTTTGAGAACTGAAATTTGCATACGGAAATTCCCACCCATCCACATTTTGTTTAGCGACAAGTTTCCTGCTGAGCTTATAAATGCTAAGAACGGTTTATTTCTGTCATGGCATGTGTTTGACATTTTATGTTGCAAACGAAGCTTAAAAAAGATAAACACAGTGGAACGAGAACAGAAGAGTTTGCTAACTTAGTATTAAAGGAAACCAACAACAGTCCTATCAAATACTTTTCAAGGTCATTTATTTTAACAGCACATCGACATACTTTCAAATGATACATGTGATGGCGTGATAATTAATTTTTTTTTGCATAACTTTAGTACAAGTCGCTACTCTTTTATAGAATATTAACGAGTGAATACCATTAAGGAACAGAAATATTTACAGAACGGTAACTTTTTTTCTCCATATTACAGTATTAAGTTGGCTGTTTGGAAACTTCCAAATAGTTAAAGCATTAGAAATCTGTGCCCTGAAAACTGGCACAATAAGTTCACTTGAGGCCGCCGAGTTTCACAAACCGCCGCCCTCTTGTTCGTTAATTTGTACATTAACATTAAAGTTCAAAATCAAGCACATCGCACCTCTTCTTCATAGCGTGCAGTGAGATTGCGAGCCATAGTCGTGTACTCCAAAAATGTTTGAATCAATTCCGACATTTTTTGCTGCAGTTTAGGATCTGGAAGCTCGATGTTCCTGGATCCTGACAACAGTTCCGTTCGAAGTTTCTTCAGCAAAATAAACACATCGTACAAGGTTTTGGTTCCTTCGTCGAATTGAGGCATTTGCTCGCTCACGCTGTGGTCGCGGAGAAGACAGGGAAACAGCACCGCCTTTTCCAAGGATTCTACTTCATCAGCAAACTTCTTCAGAGCTCCAAGCAGGCAGTTTTCAGAATGAAACACTGTTTCACTTTCAAAGTCTTGGAAAGAAGGCAGCACATGATTTGGGCTGAGATTTTGCGTTGCATTCCTGATGTACCTTGCCAGTAAAGCGAGCTGATTTAAACGATGGCAGGAATCTTGTATTTCTCGCTCTAACGGGACATTGTTCGCTTCGTTTTCGGACGATGCTCCATGCCCAAGTGACAGCTTAATTCCTAACGCCTTGACCATGAAATAGAAGGCTCTCATGTTCATGTTGTTTTGCAGATACGAGTCTGCAGCACTCGCCGGCATCAAATCCTTTACGGGCAAGTCTATCAACTTCATAGGTATCAAGACTGTGTTATCCATCAGATCCACCGTCTTCAAGAACTGCTCCAGAACGGCAACGAACGAGTTCTCAACGGATTTAAAACGCCACAAAGACTCCATTCCTCTTCCTCGCTTGGTGAAGGCTTGTGAATCGTCGACAGGTGCAAATGGATGGTTTTCAAACTGTGTATGTCTCCAAACTCGAGTATTCCAGGTCGGGAACTAACTCCTTCGCTTCGTTGAAGTCAAACGGCGGTCAGAAATACTGAACGAATGAATTGTAAGTCGACAGCACGATTCTTATCGAAAGATGTTTCTTTGTTGTTATTCCCGAACGTGACATCGTGTTTTTCCGCGTGTCGTTGTTGTCGTATGACAGCCCCTGTTCACGTGCTCTACTCATGGAACTTCCGTGGGTTCATTTATATTCAAAACCTAAAGTCGGCTGATTTCCGTTGTTTTCAGTCGTTTCTCTCTCTAAACTCCTGTAGTTTCTAAAAAATAGTAAATCCAGAATTTTCTGAGGGGTTTGATGGTGGAAAATTGCTTTTTCTTCATGAATTCCTCGGTGTTTATTTCGATATTCGCCCGCACCTGAAGTTGCGTGATTGAAGCCGATACGCTCCTCAATTCTGATTGGCCCATAAAACAAAGTAGGTGGGCGTGTACAAGGCGTGAGGGTGGCGTGTTCTGTCACGCTTTACCAACTGTACTTTATCGTATCCAGATCTTCCTCAGGAAGAATCCGTTGCGTAATTAAAGATTAATAATTTTTTGCCAGTTACGTAGTAGCATGAACATTTTCAGACACAGGGTTTAGCGGGGGATTAAGATAGCTTTTAGGAACTAACTTCCATCAGCGACTCAATTCTCTGTCCAGTTCATTTAGTATATTACTTTGCAATGCTTATAAAATTCTTACTTCCTCATATGGAGACAAGAAACGGGACCAACATAGTGAAGTGTAAAAGAAAAAAACGTTTCTTGCAGAAAATTCTATACTATTGTCTTTTCCAATCGATGTCTGGCCAGAGTCTAGCGGTGTTAATTTAACAATAGCCCCATTCTTTCTATGGTTGTTTTGACTAACCTTTATTCAAATTCAATTGTCCAAGTAAAGTTGCGTAATGGCTCTCTTTTCTGGGATTGCACACCCAAGGAACCGTGGTATACGCACGTGAGTCTGGGCATCGAACAAGGTTTTTTCTGCTACCACTCGAGGGAGGCACTGGACTCTGTCCGCAAGTTAAACTTTAGTTTGGCAGCTTAACATCACCTGCGAAAAGTGGGTTTCTCACGTGTAACGGATTTTAGCTCGGGAAATTTTACCGGAGTAAATGAACAGTAACTTGATTCTTAATAGCCCAGGCTTTGTTTAGCGAAGGTCCAACGTACCCATATTGTAGGCTTCGAGGGAAACGTTCAAGGAAGTAAATTTCAGCGAGTAGGAAAAGGCTTCGTCGAGATTATTAAACGTGGACGACTAACAAGTTTTGCTCCCTCGTCAGTTACTCTTTCACAGATACGCTAAAGATTCACTCATTTGATGGTTTATTTAAATCTTTAAATACTGTAAGAAAAGCTTCCAAGGGATGCTACGATCAAACCATTTTCATGAGGCTCGGAAAACTTCTAAGATTTGGAAAATTAAAATGGTCAATACACGCTAGAAGAAGCGTATAATTACGTAAGACCAAGCATTCTGTTTAAGTAAATATTCATAAACAAGGTCGAAGGAGTCTCGACGGAGAGCTCACTTTCCACAGACGTCTCTACACGTACCTGGTGCATGAATAATTAGCTTACAATGTAATAACACGCGCGCGCTCTACACGTGCACTTTATTTGGGGAACCTGGGAACCAACAAATACAAAGGGTTTTGTCTGGGGTCGGGCTAGCCGGTAGTCTTTTCCACGCTCTAGCTCGGTCAGTGGGGACGATCGAAAAGGCAGACGGGCGATCGGAAAAGCGGGCGGGTGGCGAGCGGGATCAGTGACGGGCGCACGCGATCCGGGAGAAGAAATGGCTTGAAAAGGAGAGGGCGGTGTCCCATCAGGCCCAGACCCCGCTCGTCGCCCACTCGCTCTTTCGATCATCCCTTTTATCTAGGACAAATTTCAGATAATTTTGGTTCAGTTAATTAACGTATACAACAACGTCTGTTAGAGAACAAAATTTAGGAGCAAATTAAAAATCTACAATATCCTTGACTTAAAACTTGTTACCCGGCTCTGTTATGCAAATTTAAAACTATGGTGATACAGTTCCTTTGGGCTTTGTGTATAAAGAGGCAAATAGTTTCTTTTATAATTTATTTTGAGTGGATTGAAAGTGGTACCATTCATGCCATTCAAGTCAAATGCTTAACCATTGGTAAGGTGTGACCGAAGAACAGCACTCCGGATAACAAAGGAGACTGTTTGATTTCGTTGCCATGGAACCTGTTTACTTTACAAGTTTTAAGACAATGAACCATTTCTTCTCGGTCCTTCCTGAAATTATTTCCTGCTAACGTTACGTGGTTTGTAATCTAGGTTAAAGTTTATAATCCACTGAAGCGATCAAAACTTCAAGGAAATTAAGCGACCTCAAAATATTAATTACTAGTAGGCTTCAATTTTGTTTTTCGCTTCTTATGATTTTTCCTCATGTTTACACTCCACTCTAAGGTGCTAAAACTATCCTCGATTAGAAAACGAAAAGGTGAACAAACATTTTAAATTAAAAACGTAGGTTTGCATGAATAACACTTTGCTTTTTTGTAACCGGCATTCAGACCGCAAGTACACAGCGGACATTCACAAAGGCACTGCTGCATAATCTTGGCGTAAATGAGCCTGGAGTTAATTTATGGAAAAAGGCACAGTCTCAACAGCTTTTGAATTGCTACCGAAAGTCATAGCACGCAAAAACTAATACAAAATTTGATCTTGCATCTGTACCGTTATATTAACTGGATCTTCATTGTAACCTATGGAGAGAAACTTTGTAATGATCAGAACATTGCTGAGTGGTTTGCATATTTTAATTGGGCACTTTTAAGTTTTCACCCTTAAATTTCTTAGCAACGCTGTTTTTTCGTACTACGTAGTATTGAACTTTTTAGTCTAAACGTTTCGTTCTTGTACGCAGCCGTGCATGTCATCAATTTGGTTTTGATTAGCATTCGATGTAGCCTGTTCCAGGCTCTTGGTCAGTGGGGACGATCAAAAAAGCGGGCGTGCGACGGGCGACGTCTGGAAGAGAAAGGGAGAGATCAGGAGAAATTTGACAGTTTGACAAAAGAAACGGTTTTTTTTTTTCAAGTGGGCAGAATGAGGTTTTTAAAACAATGCTTACGGGCTCTCCCGCCCTCTCCCGTATCCCGCTCGTCGCCCGCCCGCTTCCACTGACCGAGAGCCTGGAACAGGATACATTCGATGACGTTTGTATCCAGTTTTCACGCATGAGAAGAGAAGGCACGATCTGTTCTGGTCTTTTGGTCAATAACTGTTGTACTGTAACGTCTGTAACCAGCAGAGGACTGAAAATCTACACAGTGGTTTTCTGGTTGGAAAAGGAGCCGAGTTGAGTCAAATTCACCACAAACAAACAAATTTAACAGTGGCCGACAGGAGGCCGTAGCCAGAAAAAAAAAATGACTGAGACAAAGTTATTTGTTTGCCTCTTTTAATATTCATTTATTTGGCAGCAGTGTTTTACTTTTCCCGCTCAAAACAAAAAAACAAAACCGAAAAAAATGACTGAGGTAAGTGGCTCCGTCTGCCTGTTACCAGCTAAGGCCCTGGAAGAAAAAATTTAAAACAACCCTGATTTCATAAGTTTTCTCTCTTTCTCAATGAAATGTGACAAAAAGAAGAACCAGAGCCTCTCGGACCTGGGTAAAACTTAAAACTTCCTTGGTAAATATTTTTCCGAATTGAAAAATCTGAACTATCTTTCAAGACGTTCCGTCGATTTGGGAAATTTTCACCTCAGTCGTCTACATAGCGACTCCATCCTCTCTGTCTGCTCCCGATTGGTTCCGGCTTCTTACGCCACTGCCGTACCTGCTGGTGATCCTGGGTTGTCGTCCTCTTCTTCCTCTCTTTTTTGATGACCCCTCCCCCTCCCCACCCCCGATCTGGTGCCTAGTCCCTGGCAAATCCAAACATGTCGCATCCTTGTTTGACACCGCTATATATTTACTGAATGACAACAAACCAATCACACTTACTCCCTTTGGTCTTCTGCAGTACATTTTAAAACCTCTTTTCGTCACTTTACGACCTTCTCTGTGATGCAATACCTTCATAGGCCTTTACATGGTGGATGGACTCAAAAGCGTTCTCGAAATCGATTAAGTTCAGTTTTATAGCAGTGTCGATTGCCATTAGTTAGTCTGTTCGGTGATGCCATATAAGGAGGAAACAGTGAAACTAACACCCGCTGAAATCGCTTTGAAACAGCGCCAAAACGGCACGGAAACACAAGTAGAACACCGAAGAGGCAAAGTAAGTCGTTCTTATTCATTCCTCGGAATTTCTTTTTCCTTATTTGGAACTGTTATAAAACGATCGTTACATTCCCATACAGACTCTTATATTTACGCTGTGTTACCCAATAGTGGCTAATAAATTAAAGTGTTCAAGGCTCTTGAGGAGCCGAGAGATCTGTGATAGATCAACTTCTCATCTTCGTTAATGATTTAGTGGGTTTTGTCACATATCAAGGACAAATACATGTCGACCTATTCAATTCCTTTGAGTGAATCTGGGCACTGTTTTTTTTTTTCAATATATGCTTTAAATTCAACAATTATTAATATTTGGAGCTTACAGTTTATACATTGATTTTCAATTGTAAGGAGAAAATGTTGCAATATTATTCATAACATCATTCTTAGTAATATTTTCATGATATAAAGGATTGTTCATCCCATATATCTTGCTCTATTTCAGAATAGTCATCATTATTTTAATGTTTGGTAATGCCAGTCCAATATTTTCACTGATATTTTTATATATAAGAACCAGTTTTGTTCCAATATGCTTAATTAGCCTTTGCAGGCAAGCGTCAAGCCGCGCGAAAAATGGGGCGAGAACAAAGGAAAATCACCCCAACATCCCCCTCTCCGTAGTCCGTACCTCAATAGTCGCTCGACCAGCGGGCGGGAAACTCTCCGCTCAAGGGGGAACGCTTGCTACGCAGGCTAAATATGTTCAAAGCTGTTTCACAGATCCTTCTGGTTTGGGTTCTGGATGACTATTAAAGAATATTCTCCTGATGGTGCCACCATAATCTCGTACTTGCGTGAACGCACGCGCAGAAACTTCAGATCATTGAGAGGGTCGAGATCTCGAATGCAACTCCTTGCAAGGGTTGTTAAGTGCTGAAAATTGTGCGCGTAAACTTGAGTTGTGGCATTATCCATAGTTGTCTTGATCGCAATGCCTTGTGGGTTAAGTACAATGAGACCCAGGACGCCCGGGTGCGAGGTGATTCGTTTTAAAGTATCTTCAACCTCTCCAAGTCCTGCTGGTGTAGGTTCCATGTCGCAACGATAAGGTTAATTTTATCCTTCAAAGGCAAAAGAGATTAAATATTAAATACTCACGCCAGTCAGTTGGTTGATCGGTGGGTTGGGCAGTCGGTCGGACACACGATCGCATAGTCAGTCAGTCTGTCAGTCAGTGAGTCAGTCAGTATTAGTCATTCAGTCTGACAGACAGTCAGTCATCACAGTCATCCAGACATCCAGTACTTCCGTCAGTCAGACAATCAGACGGTCAGTCAATCAATCAGTCAGTCTGTAAGATAGTCAGTCAGTCTGTAAGACAGTCAGTCAGACCGTCAGACCGTCAACCAGTCAGACAGTCGGAGAGTCAGACAGTCGGACAATCAGACAGTCAGACCGTCCGACAGTCAGTTAGTAGGTCAGTGTCAGTCAATCAGTCAGTCAGTCAGTCAGTCCGTCAGTCAGTCAGTCAGTCGGAAAGTCTGTCAGTCAGTTAGTCAGACAGTCAATCTGACAGCAGCCAGTCAGTCACACATGTAAAGTTCTCGAGATGCTACACAGCCATGCAAAGCTCTCGAAAGGTTGTGTTACTCTCGCGCTTTCGAGATTCAAAATAGAATATTTTTGTTTGGCAATGCAAGAAGCGTTTCACGTCAATAGTTTTGTGGTTTCAGTGTGAAACTACTTGCTCAAGTCATGACAAGTTATTATATAAACTGCTTCATTCCAAGGATTAACAAACAAATTGATTCTTTCAGATTCTTTTTACTAGTTTTCTTTATGTTCAGTTAAGAATAAGATCCCACTTTTCTCAGTTCACTAGAAATGAGTAACCTACAAACTTATTTCGGAAAACTTGACATAACAAGCAATATAGGGATAGTAGCTCATAATTTTAAAACATTTTTTAAAACATATAGAATTTCATGAAGAATCTTTTTATAAATATATGCGTGACATAGAAAATCGCCTCGACATCTAAGGGAAAAATATATATAGTTTCACATACCTTCGATTTTAAAACCTGCAATATTCACGGAGAGAACCCCCGAGAGAGACCGTGCAGGCAATACAGAGAAATGTACATAAACTTAGTAACCGCGATTTGCCTCTAAGGTTTGATGCAAAGGGGCATTGATTTCTTACAAGTAAAACTTAACATATAGCAAGGGCGAGAGAGGGATTGTGTCTGAAGCGATTCAATGGTCTAATGAGTCGGTAGATTTATAACACAGGCATTACAAAGAAAACTAATTAAATAATCTGGTAATTATCGGAAAAATATTAAACTACAGGATTATCGGTTAGTCCATGATGCCTTCCCAGACCAGAGTGATAAAATGTTGCTTTTAACACATTGAAGTCAGCATTACTCGAACCAGAGAAAAGGCAAACAAACGCAGTATGGAGCAATTCTGAAGTCGACGATACTAAATTTCTAAATACTTCTGCTGAATAGGAAAAGTCCCATGTGTTTACTCAAGCACGCATTTGTTGCTCGTCACAGAACATCCAGATATTCTTTACTCACCAATCAAAAGGTCCCAGGTTAGCTTAACGAGAAGAAACTTCGAAGATGATATCTTGCACAGTGTCAAAACGAGGTTCCCAAAGACACGAATTACAAAATAATTCGCGTTGAAGGTCAAAGTGTTTGGGTTACCGCGATACGAGCAAAACACTGTATATTGAGACATTTATGGAATGTCAACTTGCGTGTTAATAATTCCTGCTTATTGATATTACGTCCGATTTGAAACAAAAGGTCAGCGGGTTTATTGGCTGTCTACGAAAACAGTTTAAGGCAAACATGCAGGATTATTAAAAGAGGTTTTATTACAAGGTCACGTATTTTAAGAGATTACATCAAACATTCTGAACATTCTAAGGTGGTTTACCTCAGAGCCATTGCCATTTTCGATTTGCCTCTGTTTCAAAACGAGTCCCCGTGCGAGCTTGCATGAAAATGGACGGTTCGGTGAACACATTTGTTATATGTCTCGCTAATTTTGACACAGACGCAAAACAAAACGCTATTTGAAAATGTTCTCTAACGCACTCTTTCGGGTTTTCAAGCCCAAGGAGCCGACACGCACGAGTTTTTTTATCGCGTTAGGAGAAAATGGCGAGCGAAAATATCAGGGCCGTACCTTGCTAAGCCCAGCCTTTTTTAAAAAAAAAAAACTCACTCCCCCACCAGGCCCCTGCCGTGGACACGATTGTTTTTGGTATTTCTCTCCAAAGAGGCAACTGTGAAAGTCATAAAAATTCACAAGGTTATCTTTCTACTCGGCACGTATATACCTTGGTTCCCTGTGGGATCAGTGAACGTTTATCATTTTAATTCATTCGTGCATTTTCTGTTGCCACGCTTCCTCCAGTAGCCACCTAACCACTCCATTACACAAACACACATAACCCACAATCCCTCACTTTGCTCTGACAACGACTAACGCTCGAAATATTAGCTGCACAAACTCGCCACGGGACTTCAAGTTGATTACATCACGCCTTCATGACGTGTCGGTTGCTTAGCAACTTCAGGTGGTATGGTACCCTAAAATATGGCGATGTTCATGAAAAGTTCAATTTCTTGGAAATACAAGACTTAAGACCCTTGAGGACTGGTCAAAAACATTTTGAAACGATCTTGCCGAATTTCCTTCCAGATGAGTGTGAAATTTAAGGAAAGTACACAGTGG